TGCTTTCCTCATTATTAGCCTTTCCATCTATTTTAAGTCCAAAATGCCTGAAAATGCATCAAAATAAATCAATGTATTAAGAATGACGCTTAAGAATTATCAAGGCATAAATCCAGCGCTAAATCAATCTTAAATGCTAACAAATAAACACTAAAAAGATGCATTTTCTAACTCTCATCACCGACTTCCTCTCATCTTCAAGCTGCTCATCGAGTTCTTCGCTACATCAAAGGCTCTCCTACATTTGGATTAATTTTTCCAATTGATTCCTCTTTGAGTCTCAAAACCTTTAGTGACTTTGATTAGGCTGGCTATGTTGATACTTAATGCTCGTTATTGGTTTTTGTATTTTTCTTGGTTCTTCCTTGATTAGTTGGCGAGCTAAGAAACAAACCACTGTCTCTCGTTCATCCTCTGAAGTTGAGTATCACACACTTACTTCTACAACCTGTGAACTGCAATGGCTTAGATACTTGCTTCAAGATTTTCATGTCCCTCATATTGCTTTACTTTTTTGTGACAATAACTCAGCTTTGCAGATTGCTGCCAATCCAACTTTTCATGAGCACACAAAACATATCGAAATCGATTGTCATGTTGTCTGTGAAAAAGTCCATATGAATCTCATTCATCTCATGCCATGCTCCTCTTCTACCTAGTTAGCTGACATCTGTACCAAAGCTCATGGTGTTGCACCATTTCAAGATATTGTATCCAAGCTGGGAATGATCAATATCCATTATCTAGCTTGCGGGCGGGTATTAGAAAATACAATCAGTTAGGATTAGTTACATAATTAGTTGTATAGTTAGAATTAGCTGTAACTAATCTTTATTAAGTTAGTCAATTGGTTTGAGTTGTTGAACAGTTGTACTCCATATATATAAACACTTGTACTCCATAGTCTTCAATAAGAAAAGATATTCATTTTTCCCAATTAATTTTCAAATTTTTTTTTATAGATATAAAGATTTGAAGTAAAAATATAGAAGAAGAAGAAGAATAAACTTTTTTAAATTACAATTATATCCCTACTTAAACTTGAAGATGGGGCAAAAAAATCATTTCTCTAAATTAGATGGACCTAAATCGCTTTACCTGTCTAAATTAAGACCGAATTAAATATTTGAAAAGCCCAGTACTCCAACAGATGCCCAATTCAAGCCATCCAACTAATAAGTAATTTGATAAATAACAAAATCTTATAATATTAAAGTAGTGTTTTTCTGTTAATCAATATATCAGGTAAATGTTAATTGGATATAAAAACTAACAGCTGTGCAAATAAGATTATTAAGGGTGTATACTGTATACTCTTTGTATATTTTGAAACCATATCTCGAGATTATAAAAAATAATTAATAAGGGTACAATAGAGTTTTCAGTATTATAACTCATTTTTTAGTTAATTTAAATGGTTTTATATCGTAAAGTATTATATTTTGTCTTTTAAATTTTTTTTTTTTTTAATAAACATATTTCCTCAATTGATTTTCTCCCTTCTTTATAATCAATATCATTTATCTTTCATCACCTTTCCCTTGAAAACTAACGAATACACCAAGAATTTTCTTCTACATTAAGCAACAATTTAATAAAAGCTATAAATATAATCCAACATGTTCTATCATTTTATTTATATTTTTATTATAAAATTCTATGTTTTAGAAAAATTACACATTGTTTTGAGTTCTTACTTTTTTTTTTTATCGAAAATTAGAGTTTCGTATAGGTTACAATTATACAGCCAACAAGTAATTTTTTTTTTTTATAGTCTTTTATTTAAATATTATTATAAGAATTCTATTTCATTAAAAAAAAATCATAGTCGTTTTCAGTTTTTTTTTTTTGTTTTTCTCATAAATTTTGTTTTTTTGTTTTTTGGCCAATTCTTTTGATCAAATGGTATTTTATGTGTTCTCATGTCATTAAATATTGGTCATTTATGTGAGAGAAATTAAATATTAAATCTTAACTGTTGAAAGTTATAATTTTCACATGGTTAAAGATAACTAAAAACTCAAAGAGAAACAAAGACGAAAAATAGAGAATGAAAAGAAAATTATAAGGGTCTTTCTAACAGTAAGAGAACTACATGGGGGTTGAAAATATTTCTAAACCATACGGCATATCATTTCTCGGGCAAAAGAAATGAAATGTCGTCTCCTAACCACCAAAATAAAGTCATTTTCAAGGTAACAGGAACAACGTCGTTTCTGTACTATCGTTTTCCAGATAATAGAAATGATATGTCATTTTTTAGAGAAAAAGAATAGTATCGTTTTGAAGACAACCGAATGACGTTGTTTTGTGGCAACATAAAACGACATGTCTCTTGTACAAAGAAACGACATGAAGTGTCTTTTTAGGACAAAAGAAATGATGTGTTATTTTGGTAACAATAGAAATGACATCATTTTTGTTAACAAAGTCGTTTCCAAGACAAAACAAATGATATACCGTTTGTAGACATGCGAAACAACAACGTTTTTCAAAACATGAAACGTCACTATTTATGTTCAGCAAAAAATGTCGTACTAACAAACGGAAACGACATGTCGTTTCATATACTAAGAAACGACATGTCGATTTTCTTTAACTTAGAAGCAACATGTCAATTTCTAGACACAAAAACGACGGTGTTTCATGAAACGAGAAGCAATGTTGTTCTTAAAATTAAAGAAACGAAGTCATCTAATATAATATTGTCCAACTCCCTTAAGTTTTGGTAAAAATCTATAAAACACCTTTTTATATTTTATATTTTATATTTTATTTTTTTTTTGGGAATATTGATGAATTGAAGTGATATTTTCCATAAAGAAATATTTGTAGAAAATAAAATGACGTGATTTAAAGGGAAAATAAAAGACATCGTTTTAGTTAGACAAAAACGTTGTTGTTTCGTCACTGTTTTAGTTAGACAAAAACATTTTCGTTTCGTCACTGTTTTAGTTAGGGTCTGCTTGAGAGTTTTTTTTTCCACTGGTTTTAGGGGGTTTTTAATTAGACTAATTTTGAGGTGTTTAAAAACCATTACTTACCATATTTTTTATAGACTGGTTTTGACTGATTTAAAAACCCCCTAAAACCAGTATAGTGTATTTTTGAAGGGTTTGTAAAACACCTCAAATCGGGGTGTTTTGGCTGGTTTAAAAATTTTATCCCAAAAAAACCCCTTTCCATTATTATTCATAAATAATAATCCCTTTGCTGGTTTAAAAATTTCTTGAAACCCCATTCAATCTTCAACTTTTAGATGACTATTACAATGCTTTTGAATCTTTTATCTTAGGCTTTCTAATCCTTCATTAGAGATATGAAGGTTTTTCTTTCTTTCTTCTTCATTTTCCCTTTCAACTTTTTGTTCTTTTAATCTGGTAAACTCCTCTACAGGTTGTATACAATTTAATTGCATTTCTTTACCAGTTGTTTTACAAAATTAGGTGATTTTTCCTCTATTTGCGTTTAGGTGATTGATTGAATCCTTATCAGTTTGTTAAATAAAGATTATTTTTGATGGTTTTGTTTCACTGATTGAAGAAAAGAACAAAAAACTGTTTTTTAGAAATGCTGTTGCGGTTGTTATATTGATAATTTGCGAAGTCCAATATTGTGGCAGCATATTTATTCTCTTAAAATGACAGATTTTAAATGATTGTGTGATGAATTAAATAATATACAATGAAGGAACTTAAAAATAAATTAAACTTGGAAGGAACTTTGATATTAAGTATTGGTAATTGAAAAAAAAAAAAAAAACTCTCAAATATTGGTTGAAGTTAGGGTATTTTTATGGGTATATATGTATATTTATCATTTTAAAAAACTGTTAGAACCATTGGAAAATAAACTTCCAAGCACAGGTTGGGTGTTTTAAAAATCGTTACTAAAAACCCCTCAAAATCGCTACGGTGGTTTACTCTCAAAACCGCTATGATAGTTTACCCTTATAACCACTACCATAAAACTTCCAAGTAGACCCTTAGACAAAAATGTTGTCATTTCGTGATTGTTTTAGTTAGACAAAAACGTTGTCGTTTTGAAGAATGATACATGATGTCATTGTATTTTTGGAAACGGCATCATTTAAAGGAATATCAATCAGCCTCTAAATGTTTGGTTAATATCTAAAAAGCCCTTATTTTTGGAATATCGATGGACTTAAGTGATATTTGCTATGAAGAAAAGGAAACGACGTCATTGTGGGTAGGGGCATGTGGAGGATGTCATTCAAAGGTAAGCTGGACGACACAATTTTGCTTCAAATAAGACGCTGTCGCTTATACTTTCTGGAAACTACGTCGTTTATAGGAAAATTAGTTAACCCCCTTATTCTTTGGTAAATATATATAAAGATCCTTTTTTTAGGATTCTTGATAGATTTAAGTGATATTTGCCATGAAGATATAGAAATTTTATATAGCAACTAAACAATGTTGTTGAAAGGTAGAAACCGGACAACACCGTTTTATAGAATGCTTTTGTTTTGTGAAAGAGACATGACATCGTTTAAATTTTATTAGAATATTGTTATAATGAATATTAATTAACTCCCTTAAGTTATGGTTCGGTAAATACTATAAAGCCCATTTTTGGCATTCTTGGTGGATCTGATATTTAGCATGAAGGAATAGAAACAACGTCGTTTATGGGGCAAGTAAACAACATCATTTTGAAGGGAATATAAAATATGCCATTGCATTCTTACTTTTTGAATGACATGCCGTTTTCCGGATATATGAGAGTATGAGACCCGGGCATATAACTTGTTTTGGTGAATATTTGTAAACCCCCTTTGTGTTTGTTAAATATCTAAAAGACCCCTAGTTAAGGACTTCTGTTCTAGTGGACCTAAGTGATATTTAGAAGGGTATAATGTGGCAATAATACCCAAGCCCAAGCCCAAGCCTAAGCCCAAATCCTACCCAAACCCAAATCAGAATCCTAACCAAGCTCAAATCCGAAACTAAAAGCGGAAACTGACTACAATTGTAAGAACTAGGGTTTTTCAAGTCACTATAAAATCAACACTTCACATAGCGAGTTTGCAACTCAGTCACAGTCATGGTATCCGGGGAATTTGAGATAGGTGCCGTGCCTTTTAACGCCGACGGTTGGGGACCGCCAGAATCCAGCACCACCGCCACCTCAACGCTCCCTCTTCACGTGCCGTTCGCTCCATTCTCTCGCTCGGAGAAACTTGGTCGGATCGCAGATTGGACTCGAAACGTTTACGCCAATCAGTCTAACCGCCCGAATACAGCCAACAAGAACCCGGCCGATACTGTTTTCGACTTTTCCGCCGACGACTCGTTTCCCTTGTCTGCGAATCCCGACGATGATTCCTCCTTCCGTCTCGTAGACGGAAAGCCCCCACCCCGGCCCAAGTTCGGCCCGAAGTGGCGGTTCAACCAGCACCACCGACCTCAGCTCCCGCAACGCCGAGATGAGGAGGTGGAGGCTCGTAAACGCGAGGCAGAGAAGGAGCGGGCCCGCCGCGATAGGCACTACAATCTCAATCGCTCGAATGTGAACCAGCCGCGTCGCGAAGCCGCAATTTTCAAGTCGTCGGTTGATATTCAACCCGAATGGAACATGCTTGATCAAATTCCGTTTTCGACTTTCTCCAAATTGTCGTTTAGTGTGTCGGAGCCTGAAGATTTGCTGCTTTGTGGATCTCTTGAGTATTACGACAGGTCGTATGATCGTGTGACGCCAAAGAATGAGCGTAGACTGGAGAGATTCAAGTATAGGAATTTCTTCAAGGTGACTACAACTGATGATCCAGTGATTCGGAGACTGGCTAATGAAGATAAGGCTACTGTTTTTGCCACCGATGCCATTTTAGCTACGCTTATGTGCGCACCCAGGTCAGTTTATTCGTGGGATATTGTAATTCAACGAGTTGGCAATAAATTATTTTTTGATAAAAGAGATGGGTCACAGTTAGATTTGTTATCTGTGCATGAGACTTCTCAAGAACCGTTGCCTGAAGCTAAAGATGATATTAACTCGGCATATTCTTTGGGTGTTGAGGCTGCCTATATTAATCAGAACTTTTCACAGCAAGTTTTGGTGAGAGATGGGAACAAGTTGACCTTTGATGAGCCGAACCCGTTTGCTAATGAAGGAGAGGAGGTGGCTTCAGTGGCTTATAGGTATAGGAGGTGGAAGCTTGATGATGATATGCATCTTGTTGCTAGGTGTGAGGTACAGAGTGTTGTGGATGTGAACAATCAGAGGTCATTTTTGACATTGAATGCGCTTAATGAGTTTGATTCAAAATACTCTGGTGTTGATTGGAGGCAGAAGTTAGAGACTCAGAGGGGTGCTGTTTTAGCCACTGAGTTGAAGAACAATGCAAATAAGTTGGCAAAGTGGACAGCACAAGCTTTGTTGGGAAGTGCTGATCTGATGAAATTGGGATATGTTTCGAGGGTTCACCCACGTGATCATTATAACCATGTAATATTGGCTGTTATGGGGTATAAGCCTCGGGATTTTGCTACCCAGATTAATTTGAGCACTGCAAATATGTGGGGCATTGTGAAGAGTATTGTGGATCTGTGCATGAAGTTGAATGAGGGGAAGTATGTGCTTGTTAAGGACCCGTCTAAGCCACAAGTGAGGATCTATGAGGTTCCACCAGATGCATTTGAGAATGATTATGTGGAAGAGCCCTTGCCTGAGGATGAGCAGGTACAGCCACCTGTGGAAAATGCTGAGGGAGTGGAAGCAACTAATGATGTAGAGGATAAAGTGATTGACGCCCAAGCTTAGTGGTAATTTTTTTGTTCTTATTCCTATTTTTTTTGTTCTTTTTATGTTAATCATTGTTGTTAAATGAGTTATACCTATTTGGCACTGATGAGCTTTCTAAGATCATATGTATGTTCATATATATATATATTAAAAGTTCACGTGTGTAGTGAATGCATGTAGATGTCTCTGGTTAAAATCTCTGTTTGCATATGTTTCATAGTGGTCTAATTTCTATTGGGAAGGTCTTATCTATGAAAATATTTGATTAATGCTTGTGGTTTATGCTTGCTAATTCATTCTGAATTCTAAGTTCAATGTGCCAAATTTTAAGCTCAAATTATTAAAATGATTTGATAGGTTCCTGCTGTGTTGTCAAATTTGGCTTCAGCATTTTACGCCAGGCACTTTTAGAGTTTTGGTTGTGCAATAGATTTATCTGAAGTTAGTGCCTAGATACTGAAGAGAGTTGAATTAATGTTTTTTCCTTCATTCTATGGCTATCTACTTCGTTGAATTTGCATCATTTTCCTGATTAGTCAGCTCAAAAGAATTTCATTCTTTGTTTACTTCTTGAGTTGAAATTGCTCTGCCCGCTTAGATAAATATCCTTCACATGCTAGTTTTAGAAGGTGATCCTACAAATATGATTCTATGTTCTGATTATGATGTAATATAGAAGTAGATAACTTCCTCAGAAATCTTGATCTAGCACCAACAAGGTAATTATTATCTTAGCTGATTATGAGAACTTGCAAATTACGCTGTTGGTTTGTTTTAACATCCAAGTATAATGTCATGTTGTTTCAAAAAATTCATTGATCTCCTTATCTCCGAACAAGTATTTTCTCTAATGGAGACTTACTGGTCCTACAGCCTTCTTTTTGGTCCACCTATGTATATAATATCTCTTGCAATTCTTCATACTACTTGTTCATAGTAATGATATAACTCTCAGTCTAGCACCAACAAGTATTTTCTCTAATGGAGACTTACTGGTCCTATAGCCTCCTTTTTGGTCCACCTATGTATATAATATCTCTTGCAATTCTTCATACTACTTGTTCATAGTAATGATATAACTCTCAATCTAGCACCAACAAGATAATTGTCATCTTAGCTGATTATGATAACTTGCAAATTACGCTGTTAGTTTGTTTCTATCATTCAAGTATATTGTCACTCTGTTTCGAGAAATTCATTTATTTTCTTGTTTCTGAACAAATATTTTCTGTCATGGAGACTTACTAATAGACCCTTTTTGATCCTCCTATGTATTTAATCTCTTGCAATTTCTTCTTATTACTTTTTCGTATTAATGAATGGACAGTGACTTTGTAAAATACTCCATACTCTGTACTTTTATTAACATTTTTTGAATTATCAGAAAAGGAAAACATGTGAACTCTGGTAGTAGGGGCTATTGTACCATTTTGAATTCATTTTATCTCTACTGTACCCTGCAAATTATAACAGGATTAGAGGCTGTGATCTTGTCTGCCCAACCACTTGCCTGAGAGGGTCAAAAAGTCACTGTTCTTTCTCATTGAGTTCCTAATATGTTGTTGCGCTAACCTTTGGTGCCAATTTATTTCAACACTTCTCAGTGACAAGTAGATAATAACATCACAATTTTGGATAGAAAAATTAATAGCATATTTTGAACTTTACTTACAATTTAGAGGAAGGGGGAGAAAGCATATCTTGAAAACGCTTAATTTTAGCATATTAATTTTTGCATCAAATAAATATGCGAGTCTACTGAAAAAATATTGGATGCCCATTCCTCTATGATGTGTCATATGCGGCTAAAGGAAGAACTCCATGTGGTAGATTTCATGGTTCACATTACATATCTGATTCTACTCTGACAAATCATACTTCTGGATGTCAATTATAACAAGTTCACTTGGACTGGAATTGATGCATGAGTTGATACTTAGTGTTGTGTTGTTTAATTATATGTATGGCTCACTCCCTATCTCTCATGTTCTTTTTTATTTTTAATTTTCATGCTTTTTAATTCCAAGAGTTTTAAATGGCTAATTCTTGAATGTTATATTCCTTGAGCTTGTCAGTGTTTTTCATTCATGTGTATGCTTAATTGCTTAATTTGTTCTGCCTATTGAATACAACTTATTGTTTCAGAGTATTTTTTGAATCAGTTACGCACCTTTAATTTTGTAAATGGCAGAACATGTGTATGTTCGATTATATATTGGCTTTTATACTAAAATTGTTTATTTTCATTTGTTGCTCAACTGTATGGTGATTAGAGGTAAAAGTTGATTTTTTTGGAGATCAGAGGCCTGCTGGTGACTGGTGTTTGCAAGGTTGTGATGGGTCAGACCGCTAAGCTCCAAGGATTTTTGGCTTGCTTCCATTTTGATGTTCTCAACTTGCAAATGAGTTTTGGTAGTTGAGCAGAATATTTTGTTTAAGATAGTTTAAGGAGCTCCTTCGAAGACTGTTGATCTTGAGATTTTCTGGTTCTCCCTTTTTTTTCAATTAATTATTATATAAACCTAATCTCATTGTAATGCAGAGTTTATTCAGAGGGATAAATGAACCTATAAGTTGTCTTGGGGTTTTTGTTGAGTGCATGGCTAAGCTAGCCATTAGTATATGGATTCTGCTGAACAGGTTGCTTTTGAAACCGAAATATGAGATGGAACTCTACTGTGTCAAATTAGGGGTGGGCAAAAGTATCCTTTTGTTATGGGTACAATGAAATAACTGAAAGCTGTTAATTCTACACTTTATGAACCATTTCAGTCCGGTCAAACTGAACTGAATGGAAAATTCACGATTTGGTTTGGTTTTGATTTCTAGTTTGTTTCATTATATACAAGGGAAATTGGCTTATTTGATCACTTTTTAGGATTTGAAATAAAACATATATCACTACATTATTTAACCACTGCAATATCTCAAGTGTGTACTGTTTCTTCTGGTCTATTTTACGAGATCCTCAAATGAAATTTATGGTATAGATAATAAAATAGGTATGCCAGTTTCATGAGATAATTTAAAAGTGTAATATTATACTTATAAATCACTCTTATAAACTTTTTGTCATTTGACAGTTTAATCTTATAAATTTTTTCTCACAATTTTGATGTGACAGTTTGTAATGAGTTTCGTTTGTCTAGTAATAGGTCTTGTCTGTTCAATCGCAACCAATTGTGAGTTGTCACGTCGGGGTTGTGAGAGAAATGACAATGAGTCCTGTTTGCCTAATTGTGACTAATTGAGAGTTATCACGTCGGGGTTATGAGAGAAAGTTTGTAAGATTGTGTTTAAATAGAAAGTTCATAAGATTGTGTTCAAATAGCAAGTTTGTAAGATTGTGTTGTGAGTCGATCTTTATTGAACTAATAAATCTCTATGGTAGCGTTTGGTTCAGGGAATATTGCATCACAAGGAAATGTTATATTAATAAAAAGATAGATTACAGAGTATGTTTAGAGAAATGTGTTTGGTTAGTTGGAATAAATTGGTGGGTATGTTATATTAATATGTTTGGTTGAGAGGATAAATGAGTGGTTATGTTATATAGATTACTATATTGCCATCTTTTTTAAATAATAATATAATATTATTTTTATTATTATTTTTTGAATATTTTATTTTAACCTCTTATATTTGAAATATTGTTAAAACACTCTAGCCATATAAAACTTTAATTTGTAGCAAAATCACCCCCACCCAACCCAAGCCACTGTTAGTAGCCAGCCACCATCGCTGGCAATCGTCGTAATGGCATACGACTAGTCTAATCTGATTGGTCGTGCCCCAGTAAGGCCTTTCCCGACCATGGATCTATGATCATCTAACCGTTTCTATGGTTATTTCACGGCCAGTGAAATGACGACCATTTCATGGCCAAAGATGTGGTCGTGAAATGACGGCCATGGATCTATGATCATCTAACTGTTTCTATGGCCGTTGGTCAGAAACGTCCTTACCGGCACACGACCAGCAATATCTTACCAATCTTGTGCCGATATAAGACTTTCGTCGGCGGCCAGTGGTGGTCTTGGGTGGCTGGAGGTATTTTGTTAACTTCTAAACTTTTTTATGACTGGGGTGTTTTAGCTAAATTCTCAAATGTAGGGGGTCTGGTAATGTTTATTTGGTAGACATATGAGGCTAAATGTGTCCAAAATGATAAAAGATTAAGGGCAAAATAGGGTCAAAATTATGATTTCTCTGGTCATCTTATAATAACACCCTCTGGGAAGGTAATTTGATTACCTTTAATATTACTAACAGTAAACACTATTTACTATAAAAGATGATCGTAATATTTTTATTATTGACAAACCCAACGAGGGAATCTTGAAAATTAATAAGATTATAGGATTAATCTTATTTCACCCCACACAAAACACAACTATATGTTTGTGATATACCAGTTAGCACCTTTTTTTGGTGAGAGTTGGAGCTTAACCCCATTTGTTGTTACTAATCAAGATTAATTACTAATCAAACTCTACAAAATCTTAACCCAAAAATGGAAAAATGAAGAGAGAAAAAAAAAAAAAGAATTGAAAACATAGATGGTGGTTAATGTAGAAGATTAAAGAATGTCAAAAATATATTTCTACTCTTGAGTTGGTATCATTGTTGTATATAGATTTTCTCTTTCCGTAACATAGATTTCAGGAGTCAACTAACTTATCCGATGTTTTAAACTTTAAAATCTTCACTGATAAGTTGAAGTTCATTAGTCCAGAGTTAAAAGACATCTTTTCTAATTTTCAATTCTAGAATGTATCCGATTCTTCTCGCCGCAATCACATGCAAGTCAACCTAGAATTGTATAATAATCACAAATATAATTATTTTTATAAAGCCTATAACATGTTTTAAGTCAAGAAATTAAGGAAGACATAACCAAGGTGTATGGCCCCAGGACGCTAACGAGGCAAGACGCTTGAGACAGAGTCGTAAGAGCATCTCTAATGGTGCTCTTTATTTTGAAGAGCATCTTTGATATAAATAAAGAGTATCTTTATCAATTTTAAAATATAAAAAATACAATTTTCATTTAAATCTCTCTTTAAATTTAATGAATATACTCTTTATTTTTAAGAAAATACTTAATAGGAGAGAGAATTATTAAATAAAATGCATAGGAACTTGTAGTTTATTAATTAAAAAGAAGATAGAGAGTGAAATTTGACTCTCTAAATATGGAGAGTCAAACTCACTCTCTAATTTATATTTTAAAGAGAAAGAGTCTATTGGACTCTTATTTTTATGGAGTTTAGGTCATATAAAGAGTCATTTGGAGATGCTTTAAGATATGTAATTATAGATGATGTCTTATAAAAAAGAGGATACTCATTGCTTTATTTAAGGTTTTTGGAGAAATCTGAGACTATCTTATGAAGAGAATACACGAGGGTGTTTGTAGAAATCATGCGGGAACTAAGTCACTAGTCTACAAAGTAATCAAAAAAGGGTAAAATTGGCCTTCGATACATGAGGATGCAAAGAAATATACATGCAAGTACGAGGAGTGTCCAAGAACCGCTAATACTTCGAGGCTGCTTGCCACCGAAGTTATACCAATGACTTCACCTTGGCCCTTAGCCAAGTAGGGTGTAGACCTGATAGGTCCCATGCCTTTGGGAAAGGGAAAGGCCAAATACGTGATCGTTGTAGTTGATTATTACACAAAGTGGATCAAAGCTAAAGTTAAAGCTCAAGCATTATAACGGAGAGGAAAACAACTGACTTTATATGAAGAGTATGGTTTCGCCACTTTGGCATGCCCCCCTACCATAGTGTGTGATAATGGCCGAAAATTTGATAATAAGCAATTTAAATATTTTGTTGGAGAACTTGGCATTCGTGCTGCTTTTACTTCACTTGCTCACCCACAGGTTGCATAATAGCAAGTCTGAACTTACAACAGTTGCATTCTGTCTTTTTCGTATCATTGAGTAGAACCATCTCTATAAAATATGATCAGATTGCAAATGTCTTACCTCTTTTCTTCCTGTGGAATGGATTACCTTCATTTTCATTGTTCAAGCTACTAGCAGTAGCACAAATTTCACTTGCATTCATATTAAGTGTGTGCTCACGCTCAACCAAGTTTTCATCCAATGTGGCTCGGTTGCTAGATGAATTCATACTTATAATTGAAGAATTAAAACAATATTAATATTGCAAAATTCAATATAAAAATTTGTCACATAAACTCTAAATAATTTATCAAACAACATTAAGTAAATATGGACTTAAAGAAAACAAAAAGAGAGTGGGATTCACATTGCTGATTCATACCAAATATAATTCTAACATTTTCAAGATAAGAAGCATTGGTACTTATATATATATATATATAAGTCAACCATAAATTCACATAAATATTTATATGTTATCCGACTAATCGTAAATATTTATATGTGGATTTTAGTTTAAGGATCTCAGAAGTGGTTCTATGGTACAAGGGGATCCATAGTCTGGGATTTTACGATTCGAGTTAATGACATGTTCCCACCCAAAAATGGCCAATTGACAAATTCATACCGCGCACTTTTAAAATACCCTTTCACTACCCAAAGCACAATTTTTCTGGTAATTTTCGATGTTAGGAAGGGTAAAATGGTCGAAAGTCCATTATTAGTGAGAACAGAATGGTCAATAAACATTTGGCCCCTAGAGAAGAAGAAAAGAAAAGAGACGGTGCACGTTAGCAGCATCACAGCTGACAGTTTTTGTCATTTTTCGGTTGATCCTGGCGTTCAAAATCACTTCTGAGACCACCCACAAAATCCCCATCACCTGCTCTATAAGCCCAAGCCTCCATTTACTAACTGCCGTCATCACTCAACATTTCCCACCACCACCTCCATTCACACAGCCGACTCTTCAAGCCAGATTTTTGGTCGATTTTTTTGCCAACAATTCCCCCAGACACCACCATCACACTCCCCACAACCCACTCTACAAAACACTTACCTCCATCACCGTCCCTTGCTCGCCAATCACCGGTTGTGCAAAGCGCGACTTTTCAACTTCCAAGTTGATTTTCAGTCATTTTCGATGTCAAAAATCATCCCTGCCACCACCAATCGAATCCCTAGATCTTCCTCTCCAAAAGCCCCAACATTCTCTATCCCATTTGCTCTCTAATTGCCGACGATTGAAACTTCCCTACCCTAGGGTTTTTCGAGTTTTTATAGATTAATTGGGTTTGATTCATTTGGTTTTTGTGTTTGTTGGGTTGAAAGACGATTAAGGAATGTTTATTTTTAGTATTTGTTTGTTGATTTTCTGGTCACCGCACTCCCCAACGCTAGCAGCAATTGTCGGCAATGGAAGAGGCTAAGAAGGGAAGAAAAAAAAAGGGGGTTTTTTTTTTTTTTTCATAAATTACTTTATTTCCCACCCAACCCAGTGGAAAACATAATATTTGGCTAGTAAAAGGGTATTTTAAAGGTGGACAGGCATGAATTTTTCAATGAGCCATTTTTTGGGTGGGAACATGTTGTTAACTCTTTATTGATTCAATAAAAGAAGATTGCAATCTTAAGAGTAAGTTTTCTATTTTGCCTAAAAAATCAGGGCTGACGTAGGCTTACATCAGGGAGCACCAATCAAAGTTCAAGAAGGCTTTGCATTGTCTAGAGTCTATCACGTCGCCCCAAGGCAAAGAGAATGTAGCTGTCACCAACCCAATCGACTTAAGTTTTGTCTGTGAATGAATTTGGTCTGCACACCTGTCCAAGCCCCATTTAATTTAAGGACATTTCCTTTGTTATCAATTAATGGGACACAACGAAAGATTTGCACGACATCTACCCACTT